GTTTGTCAGGTTTCTAACTCCTTGGGAAAGAGACTGTAAGAAAGAAGGTTGCTCAATGACAGTTTGCTGGGCAGGAAGAGTATCATCAACTTCTTCTTCCTCTTCATGCATAGAATTGTCAGCTGAGACAAAGATGTCTTCAGAGCTTGAGAATGGAGTTGCATTAGCCATTGTTTTAGTTGGAATAGAAGGAGAAATAGTTTGAAAAATTTTCGAATTTTTAGAGGACTGGGGAGAACCACCCCCTTCAAAAGAAGAATGAAAGTCCTCTTTCTGTGTTGCTTTTGGGGATGGAGAAGGAGAAAAATCGAAGGGTTCCTCTGAAGGATCTCTGGTTTTGGTGAGATCCTTGTTACCTGTGGTACTGCCAACCTCGACAACGGTACTTTTGGGCTGTTTTTGAAGGCTAGGGGCTGGAGGAACATACTCATTGTTGGAGATATCATCAACAGGATGCTTTTCAGGTGGCGGCATTCGTGACACGTATGGTCGGACGTAGCTGACGTGAATTACGTCAGTCCAAGTTGGATTTTGGTCGTCGCAAACTCTGACGACTACAGGATTGACGACGTCGATAACTGTATATGGGCCCTTATATTTTGGGCTCCACTTTCGACCTACATATGTAGCTTGTTGATGTATTCTAATCCACACCTTGTCACCCACCTGATATTCTTTTCCTTTCCTATGCAGATTGAGTCTTTCCAAATAGGAAGCTTGACCTTTCCTGATGGCTTCAATAGCCTTTTTTCTGACTTCAGACAAATGATTTTGTTTGTCTTTATAGTATTCCTGGACATTGGATAAATCTTTTCTGTTCCATGATGTAGGTATCCAATTTGTCCTTGGTTTTACTCCTGTAACCATTTCAAAAGGAGAGGCTTGGAGAGCCTCATGTTTAGAGGAGTTATGGACCCATGCTGCAAATTTTAGCAGCTCATCCCAGGTTTGTCTGTTTTCCTGATCAAGATACAGGGCCAAGTATTCACGTAATTCCCTGTGGGCCCTTTCGTTTTGACCGTTTCCTTGGGGCCTGTAGTCTGTTGTAGTATGTGCCCTGGACCCCAAAAACCTTGCCATATCCCTAAAAACTTTGCTGATGAAGTTTGTCCCCCTGTCAGTTAGGATTCTCTTTGGTGCTCGAAATAGACAAACCCAGTCGCTTATGAATAAGCGGGCGGTAGTCTGAGCAGAGGCATCTCTCATAGGAGAGAACACAATCCATCTGGAGAGGCGATCTTGAATAACCAAGACGTATCTCATGCCGGATTGACTGCTGGGAACTGGACCCACTACATCAATGCTGATGTCTTCGAAACATTC